CGAAATCTCATGAGTAAGAACTTCTCAATTTCTTGAACACTAACCTTGTTCCAGGTACTGGAAATTCCCATGACCATTAACTCATGCGAGCATGTATCCAAGGTAGACACTGTCGTACCAGGGCTTTATAGATGAGAAAAAGGAAGCACACACTGGTTCACCGTCCCTCAGCAGTGAAGGGAAGAGCTGTGACTGGAACTCGGGCTGTCTGGCTCTGGGGTTCAAGGTCTCACCACTGGTTTTCACCCTACTGGGTCCTCGCTTTCACCTCACGAGTTTTCTGCAGCTTCTGCCAATGAGTACAGGGAAGGCGGTGGTGTGGGGCAGAGGGTTTCTGGTCTTCTTCTCTGCTCTTCTGCTTCTTGCATATGCACAGAGTACTTCTGTTTTTTGCCAAGTCATCTCCATGGGAAACTCACTTTCTGATACAACTTCCACAGAGATTATGCCCTGAAAGTAGACTTCAGGGTCTCAGGGAGATGTCGCACTAGGCAATTCACACAGCATGCAAATACTTATTGCTTTCCTGCTGGGTACTAGGAACTGTTACAGAAACTTGGGGAGCACTGGTGAATAAAGAGACAAAATAGTTGTCCTTATGATCTTTCCTATGTCTGTAATCTGTTTCTGCTTTTTATATAGATTGATTTGTATTATATTTTTAGATTCCACACATAAGTGATACCATACAGTGTTTGTCCTTCTCTGTCTGACTTGTCACTAAGTAGAATATTCTCTAGGTCCATCCACTTTACTGAAAATAGCAACATTTCATTCTTTTTTATGCCTCAGTAGTACTCCATTGTGTTTGTGTCTGTGTGTGTATAGATATATGCCACACTTCTTTATCCAGTCATCTGTCGATGGACATTTAGGTTGCTCCCCTCTCTTGGCTATTGTAAATAGTGCTGCTATGAACACTGGGGTGCATGTATCTTTTTGCATTAGGGTCTTCTCTGATTTCCACTAAACTTTTGATAATTTATTACAACAACCCTAGCTAACTAATATAACCTGATTAAACATTGGGAAAAAATCCTATGGGGACTTGAAATGTTTTATTTCCCTTATTGAACTATATGTCCATTGTGGGTCGGGAGCTCTCAACATCACTGTCACTCAAGTACCCAGGCTGATGGAGCCGACCCCATCATGAGTGTGCGCATGTCTGTGGAACAGGGAAGTTGATCCTTAAATTTTGGCAGTTAAATGCATAACCACAAAATACATCCATCACTGCTGCTCACCTCTCCATGGTCGAAAGAAGTCTCATAGCCCCTCCCAATGCAAAGGTCCAGAAGTACAACCCACCATGAGGCCAGGAAGCAGACAGACAGAAACATCTGGTAAAGCAAGACATTTGCAGACAGGACTCAGGCACTCAGACCTGCTCTCTGCTGTGCCATTCACCCTCTCTGTGCCTCAGCTTTCTGGTTTGTGTTGGAGTCTCACATTACAGGCTCTTCATGAGAGTCACATGTGATAGTAGCTCTACTGAGCTGAGTTGAAGGCCGGCTCACGGTGCTTTAGGTCAGTGAAAGCTGCTGTTGGTAAATACGGGAGAAAACCTACCTGATCACATGAGGAGGAATGAATAACTGCTCTGTGTTTCCCTCCAGGAGTGGCGGCTCAGGAGCTACAGGTGACTCAGCCTGAGACGTCAGTGTCGGTCGCAGCTGGAGAGACGGCCACTCTGCACTGCACCACGACCTCCCTGATCCCCGTGGGGCCCATCAGGTGGTTCAGGGGCACAGGGCCAGGCCGGGAGTTAATCTACGATTTCAAACAAGGCCACGTCCCCCGAGTAACAAATGTTTCAGACGCCACAAGGAGAGACAACATGGACTTTTCCATCCGCATCAGTAACATCATCCCGGCAGACGCCGGTGCCTACTACTGCGTGAAGTTCCAGAGAGGATTAGCTGGTGACACGGAGTATAAGTCTGGACCAGGCACTCGGCTCACTGTGAGTGGTGAGTACACGTGGGCCCCTCGTCCCCTGCTCTGTGACAGCGAGTCAACAAAATGCCCTCCTGTCTTTGAGCAAAAATAAGAATCAGGTGCAGCAGTGGGTGCTTTATCATGACTGGGTCATGATCTGATTTCCCTCCTGTCTACAGATCAGGGGAGTTGAGGCCTGGAGAGGTCATGCTATTTGCTCAAGGCCCCACGGATGGTAATTGGTATGAAAAGTCTGGAAGCCCAGGCTGCCTGGCTCCACATACCTTGTCTATTCAATCCCTTCCAGCCCTTTGGTTCCAGGCTCAAGGGAGCTAAAGTCTGAGTGATCTGCCCGGTCACAGGCCAGACCTCACCTCTTGCCTCCAGAGATTGCTCCCCTCAAATGTGGCTCAGTCTTCACTCTATTCAGCACTTACTGAGCACCTACTGTGTGCCCGGCCCTGCTCTGGATGCCGTGGAAGCAGCAGTGAAAGAGCAGACAAGGGCTGTTCTCCCATGAAGCTTGTGTTCTCTTCCCTTCCAATGCAGAGAGTCCATCCCTACTGGGAATTGTGGAGGGTTGGGGGGAGTAGAATGTGTTACTTTATTTCTTCAGAAACATCACACTGAGAAGAAACTCCTAGAGGCAGAGATTCAGTGTTAACTCTCACAGCCAGGTTTGGAGGAGATGCCCAGAGGTTGGGTGTTTCCTGGGAGGGTCTCTCACGAAACCCTTGTATGATTCAGGGATCAACTCACACAGTCACTGAAGGCTCCAAGCATCTCAGAATGTCCCGCACCCAGGGAAGAGATTCCCCATGTCGGTGTCTTAGTTGCTGCCCCATCAAGGTAGCAAATGTGCTCCTTTAGGGTTTTCTGCCAATGGCCCAGGATCCTCATTCTAACTCCTGAATCCTGGACTGTCAGGGCAGGAAGGATTTATAGACACCAACTGCCCTGCCCCCCACCTCCACATGGGGAGCCTGAGGCCAAGAGGTGACAGGGACCTAGACCACACTCACAAGGCCAGTGAGTGATGGGATCCTTCCAGAACCCAGCTGATTCAGTCCAGGCTCCTCCTGCACCACCATTGGACACTGGCTCCTTGGAAGAGCCTGGCTCATAGTAGGTGCTGAATAAAAAGCTCCTTGGGTCAAACCATTGAACAGGGAGCATTTTCTTCAGTTTCCCTAAGATTCAAATGCTCCTTGCATTCAGACCCCGAGTCCCCAAGTGACTGGCAACCTCTGTCTACTTTCAGCCACATGATCCCAAGTCACTCATCCCGTATCAGCACCTAGAGCTGCCCAGGGTCTCAGCAGCTGCAAAACAGCACACGGTACGCACAGAGCATCTTTCCCTCTGCAGTCTTCTGCTGAAGGGTACCAAGTTGTCCCCAACCTTGGGCTATTAAGACAGCACTTCAGTCGATACCGCTGTCCATGCCTCACTCTCGTCAAAGAGGAAATTCCCACTGCAAGTGTCATTGCTACATCAGGGAGTATGTGTATTTTAATTCGTGTGGATATAGCAAAACTTCACTCTCAGCCATTGTAGCAAGCAAATATCCCCACAAGCCCTGGACACAGGAGGGAAGGTTAATCCTGGCTTTGCGGGTATCACTAACGTTCCCAGGTGGTGCCTCCCCTGCTCAGCCAATCACAGGTGGGAACTGGCTCCAACCCCACTCAGACCTGCTGCCTCCCAGGAGACCGTCATCCTCTTCCCCAAGCACCTGCCCAGATGATTCCCTGGATGAGAAAGGAGGGAGGCAGGAGGGGCTGAGGGGGTAGCAGCCTGTCAGATGCTGAATCTTCCTCCTGGCAGTTACTGCCTATAGGCAGTGCTCTGAGGGAGGGGCCATCTGTGCCCCTGAGGCTCTGAGAGGGGACCTGGCGGGTGAGCAGGTAAGGGGGCCAAGGTGGAACCAAAAGCAGCCTGACTCACACCCAGCTCTCTGCACACCCCACTGTGCTTGTCAAAGTGGGGAGAAAGCTCCGACACTCTCCTTGTAAATTCGTGTGCTGTTCTGTTCCTCAGCAATAAGTATTAAAACAAAAATCCTGTGTGGCTGCCAGGCTAGCTTTATAACTGGGAACAGACAGATGCAGTGTCTCATGACGTCCTGAACCTGTTCCTATGAGGCAGGGCTCAGCACACTTAGAAGCCCCAGGAGTCCTTTTCTGCCTGTTGCTGTGATGTCGCCCCTTCACTGAGCGGCCTGCGGGAGCAGCTCCAGGAAGGGGAGCGAGGACAGAGCAGAGGGGCCCCTGCATCCCAGCAGCACCGGGCACGCCCACTCCTGGCTCCGCAGACTGAGGATGGGGAGGGGGAGGTAGTTCCTAGGGGATGCTGAGGGCCCCGCGTGGACAGAGTTCATGTTCTAGACTCAGGTGTCAGGAGCCCGTGTCTCCCCCTTCTTGCTACGGGGTCCCCAGGCCTGGGCCCTCGGAGGGCACTCCTCCCTGGTCTCGCTTGAAGTCAAGTATCTCAGAGGGAAAAGGGGAGGGTGGTGGTCAGTGTGGGGGCCCCTGAAGGTGGGCGCCTGCTCTGTTGTTGGACATGAAACCTCAGGGGCCAAGGGAATTCCTTCTGGGATATGGTTGTGGGGGTGAAGAGACTTTTATTTCTCTCAGCCTCAGTTTTATCATTTCTAAAATGGTGATAATCATGGATTCTTTCTAGCAGGGTTAGAAGGATTTCAGACTGTATGTCTAAACCACCAGCACAGAGTAGCCCCCCCAAATGGAGGTGTTGTTTCAAGTCTGTGTCTCACTTCCCTTTGCAGGGCTTACCGGCCTGCAGAAGGATGACAATCACCCCAACTTTGCAGGATGTCCTGAGGGTGCGATGAGCCTGGTGACAGAGCAGCCCCTCAGTGAGCCATGGCGTTGTTCCCCCAGGCTGTGGTCTGCGCAAGTCTCAGTTCCCGCTAGTCCTCAGTTTCCCCACCTGTGATCTCGGCTGCCTTTCAGGGTCTGTGGTGACTGGAGAGGTTCTAGAAAGCCCTAGATGGGGTGGGCTAGGGTGTCACTGAGCCTCAGGACACAGTGGTTTAGAGCCTGGGCTGAGCCCTGCTGCCTGTGCTCCCATCCCAGCTCTGCCAGATCCCGGCTCTGGGAACTCGGACGCGTTCCTCTCCACACTGGGGCTCGGGGTCCTGGTCCGTCCCTGTCAGCACCGCCCTCCCAGAGCCACTGCAGGGACTGAATGAGGGAACCATGTACAGAGCTTAGAGCAGAGCCCGGAACAGTGTACGTGTTCCGCCACTGATAGCTCTGACGTGCCAAAGCCGGAGGCCTCGGGCGGCTCACTCCCTCCAGGATTGAGTATAACTGGGGTTGGGGTGGAGCCAGGTGCTTTCACATCAGAATCACCTAGGTAACGCTGACAGGATCCCCAGCCCGTCCCCACCATAGAAACCCTGGTTTAATTGGAGACACGTGGGCCCAGGCAGCTGACTGATTAACGCCTGCAGGGGATGCTGCCCACAGCCCTGGCGGACAAGCCCTGAGCTCCGTGTTCTCTGAGGTCACAGATGGAGCTGGGGTTTTTTGCCCAGACAGAGGTCACTCCTCCTTGGTGCTGGAGCTGCGAGAACAGCTTTTCAGGGACGTTGCAGAATAGCCTATGATGGTGACAGTTCTTCAGAGGCCAAGAAAGGAAGCTTCAACGGAGGCGGAGGGACACCTCCTCCCATGGAGCTCACCTCGGGTGGAGACGGGCCTCCTGTGGACTCAGAGGACTCTGTCCAGCCCTGAGCTTTGTCGCTGGGGAAACCTTCCCATCTTTAAAGAGGGGCTGGGATCCCCTCAAACACTCTCTGCTCAGCACAGAGCCTGCCTGCCTCAACACACCAACGTGACACTGATGGAATCTCCTCCCTCCTTTC